GAACTCTCAAAACTATATAAATACATGGAAATTAAATAACATGTTCCTGAACAATCTGTATGTTAAAAATGAAATTAAGACAGAAATTGAAAAATCTTTTTAAATGAATGAAAATAGAGACCCAATATACTAAAATCTCTGAGATAAAACAGAACAGTGCTAAAATGGACATTTATAGACGCAGTATTAAATTTCTACATCAAAAAATAGAAAGATCACAAATTAACATCTTAATTGTTAATTGTACTTTAAGGAACTAGAAAAACAATAACAAATAAAACCCAAGACTAGTAGATAAAAAGAAATAGTAAAGACCAGAGATGAACTAAATGAAATAAAGACAAAACAAAACACAATAGAAAAGGTCAACACAACAAAAAAAAAAATGATTATTTGAAAAGAAAAACAAAATTGATATACCACTAGCTAGACTAACCAAGAAAAGACAGAAGATTCAAATCAACACAATTAGATAAAAAAGGAAGCATTACAAATGATACCACAGGAATGCAAAATATCATCAGAGATTACTGTGAACAACTCTCTATACTCACAAACTTGAAAACCTAGAGGAAATGGATAAATTCTCACAAACATACAACTTCCCCAAACTAAATCAGGAAGAAATAAAAATCCTGAAGAAACCTATAACAAATAATGAGATGTAATCACTAACAAAATATTTCCCAAAGCCCAAAACAAAAGTCCAAGACAAGATGGATTATAGCCAAATTCTACTAAACTTATAAAGAAGAAATGATACCTACCCTACCAAAACTGTTACAAAAAATTTGGGAGGAGGGAATCTTCCAAAACTCATTTACACAGCCAGTATCACCCTGGTGTCAAAATCAGGCAAAAACATAACCAAAAAGAAAACTACAGACCAATATCCATGATGTACAGAGATTTAAAAATTCTCAATAAAATACTAGAAAATTGCATCTAATAGCATATCAAAAAAAAAAAAAACATACAACATAATCAAGTGGGATTTATTCCAGGATGGAAGGATAGTACAACATATGCAAATCAATAAACATAAACCACAACATAAGCTGAATTACAAACAAAAACATACGATCATCTCAGTTGATGAAAAACCAAATTCGGCATCCCCTTGTGATAAAAACTCTCAACAAACTAGGCATATGTCAAAATAAGAAAAGCCACGTATGACCAACCCACAGCCAATATTATACTTAACAGGGGAAAATTAAAGGTATTTCCTCTGAGAAATGGAACAAGAAAAAGATGTCCACTTTTTACCATTTCCATTCAATATAGTACTGGAAATCCTAGCCAGAACAATCAATCATGAGACAGAAATAAGAGGCATCCATATTGGAAAAGAAAATCAAATTATCTCTGTTTGTTCATGATATGATTTTTATACCTATATAACCTTAAATGCTCTACCAAAAGACTCCTAGATTTAATAGATAATTTCAATGAAGTTTCAGGACACAAAATCAATATACAAAAATAAGTACCATTACTGATGGAATTATTATATTCCAATAAGGATAAAGCTGAAAACCAAATACAGAAGTCAGTACCATGTACAACAGCTATAAAAATAATACCTAGGAATAAATTTAACTAAGGAGGTAAAAGATCTTTACAAGGAAAGCTATAAAACACTAAAGAAACAAATTGTATATGACATAAATAAAAGAAAAACCATCTCTCACTCATGGATGGGAAGAGTGAATATTGTTAAAATGATGATACTACCCAAAGCAATCTACTCATTCAATGCAATTCCCAACAAACTACCAATAACATTTTTCACAGAGTTAGAAAAGGCAATTATAAAATTCATATGAAATCAAAAAAGAGCCTAACTAGCCAAACCAATCCTAAGCAAAGAGAAAATCTAGAGGAATCACATTACCTGACTTCAAACTATACTACAAAGCTACAGTAACCAAAACAACATGGTTCTGGTATAAAAGTAGGCAGAAAGATCAATGGAATAAAATAGAGAACCCAAAAATAAAGTCATATACTTCCCACCAACTAATCTTCAACAAACATACTCTGGGGTAAGGCCATGCTATTCCATAAATCAGTGTTTCTCAACTGTTTTTATCTCAAGGCACACTTGAACCTATAGTTAAATGGCAGACTTAAATTATGTTGATCAAAAAAAAAAAAGAGTGAAATAAAAGAACACATTTGCTGTGCTTTGAACTTCTTTCAAAAATAATTTAATTAATGATCTTTAAAACTTTTCACAGCAGGGAGGCACCTGTGGCTCAGTGAGTAGGGTGCCGGCCCCATATACCGAGGGTGGTGGTTCAAACCCAGCCTCAGCCAAACTGCAACAAAAAATAGCCAGGCGTTGTGGCCGGTGCCTGTAGTCCCAGCTACTTGGGAGGCTGAGGGAGAAGAATCGCCTAAGCCCAGGAGTTGGAGGTTGCTGGAGCTACTCTGCTGCACCATACCAAGGGTGAAAAAGTGAGACTCTGTCTCTACAAAAAAAAAAAAAAAACTTTTCACAGCACACCTAAGATCCTTTCATGGCACAGTGTGCTGCAGCCCATCTGTTGAAAATCATTGTCATAAATGGTGCTGGGGAAATTGGATAGCCATATGCAGAAGAATGAAACTGAATCTCTATTTCTCACCATATACAAAAAGTAACTCAAGATGAATTAAAGACTTAAATGTTAAGACCTGAAACTACAAAAATAGTACAAGAAAACCTAGAGAAACTTTTCTGAACATTGGCATAAGCAAAGAATTCATGATAAGACCTCAAAAGCCAATGCAACAAAAAATAAAAGTTTCTGCACAACAAGAGAAATAATCAAATGAGTGAACAAATAACATACAGAATCAGAGGGAATATGTATAAACTATGCGTCCAGCAAAGAACTAATATGCAGAATCTACACGGGAAGTTAAACAATTCAACAACAATAAACAAATAATCCCACTAAAAAGTGGGCTAAGGACATGAATAGAAATTTTTCAGAAGAAAACATACAAATGGCCAAAAGCATATGAAAAAATGGTCACCATCGCTAATCATCAGGAAAATGAAAATTAAAATCAGAATGAAATACATATTCTACCAGTCAGAATTGCTATTATTAAAAAAATCAGAAAATAACAGACATTAGAATGCAGAGAAATAGGAACACTCATACACTGTTGGTAGGAATGTAAATTAGTACAATCTCTTTGGAAAACAATATGCAGATTTCTCAAAAAACTAAAAATGGAACTACCATTCAATCCAGAAATCCCACTACTGTATAACTAACCAAAGGAAAATAAATCATAATATCAAAAAGATACCTACACTCATATGCTTGTTACACCACTATTTACTATAGCCAAGATACAGAATCAACATGTGTCCATCAGTATATGATTCTATAGAGAAAACATGGTTATCTATATGCATAAACACACCATGGAATACTACTCTGCCATAAAAATAGAATGACATCATTCCTTTCTTGACAATATGGATGGAACTGGAGGAGACTATCATAAATGAAAGAACTCAGAAACAAAGTGAAATACTGCATGTTCTTATTCTTAAGTGTGATATAAAGAATGGAATAACAGACATTGAAGACTTAGAAGGATGGGAGGTTAGGAGGGAGGTAAGATATGAGAAATAACTGGGTAAAGAGACACTACTCATTACATATCCATGTAACTAAACTGCATTTGTACCCATTATGTCTATAAAAATAAAAGTAAAATATTTTAAAAGAAATCTTTTGTTACTGTAGAACAATGTATATAGTCTCATTTAGCTTCAGTTAATTAAGCCAATACCTATCCCATTCTCTCTTACTACTTTAAATATGCACACACACACAAACGTATACACATTAAAGATGTGGGTCATCTTTAACAGAAAACACAAAGACCAGTATGCCTTAGTAAAATAATCTTCATCTGGTTTGTTTAACACTTATTAAAAGTTTCAGACAGACAGTCCTCTGTAAAGATTCATCGTCATTTATTTATGTGCTAAGTATCTGTGTTTAAAAGTTCCATGTTCAATCATCAAAACCAACAGTATAAAAAGAATATAAGTAGTCCAACCTGGAAGCATTTCGAGATTGGTTTTTAGCTTTCAAATTGTTTTAATTGACAAAAAGTCAATGTATATGACTAACTCTATAGATTTTTTACCGTTTTATATTTATATACCTATTGATGTTCCAAGGAAACCTTTACTTATATAATTCCAATTTATAATTTATAAATTATAAATTTATAATTTATAATTCCAATTTTTATTTTAAAAATAAATAAATAAACTACCAAGTTAGGCTCCCACTCTCCCATAAAGGCTGGCAGACATGGTCTCTATTTTCTTTTATGATGACATTTTAAAGAGATGGCTCCCAGGACATTACAACCCAGAAAGACATTCCCAGGCTGTAAAACCAGAAAGAAGCTTTGTTAAAGGATTATATGTCAAAGTGGCAAAGAAAGAAGTGAAATAACAAGTTTTCTAAAGAAAATGCTTCAAAGAAAAAGAAGGTCAGAGGCCTGAGTCAGGAAGGAGGCTGTATAAGATTAAGTCCATTGTGGGAAATATTAAGGCCATCATAGCCAGACCTTTGGTGATCCCTTAGTTCTTTCACTTCAGCTTGAGAATAATAATATTCACCTTTTAAGGCAGCAAAGAAGACTGAATATCATTTAAATAATTCTCTTTTCCTTGTGTTTAACACCAAGTAAACACTCAATAAGTTACAATTGGTATGATTATCATTATAAAGAAATATCATAGATTTCCCACTAAGACCCTTAAAACCCATTCCTGATACAACTGGAAAAACATAACAGTGCTTCAACTGAAATTTATAGAAGGCATATGATCACAGTTTTTCTCTGTGTGGGGTTTTTTTTTTTTTTTTATTTGCAAGTTTTGGCGGGGGCTGGGTTTGAACCCACCACCTCCAGCATATGGGTCCGGTGCCCTACTCTTTTGAGCCACAGTTCTGCCCTCATGTATGTGGTTTTATAACTTTATTTGATGTGTCTGACAATCACCAATTAGTTCTCATCCACTTGGACTGTCTGTAGATTTTTGAAAGTGGTAACAGGTACATAGGTAACCAAAGTATAGAGCTTGTTTGGTGAATCTTCATTTTCATTATGTTTTCTGGACAACTGCTACAGATACAGTATGGGACATTCCTAATGCCTTTGGCCCAGACAGCTTTGTTGAGCCTGGTATCAATGTGCACATCTGGAGTCCCCATCTCTTTTATGACAAATTTCCAGATCTCTTTGAATGCCTGAGGTGCATGCTTCTTAAAGCCCCCTCCATGGATGTGTTTGTGAACGTTGATGGTGTGTTCTTGAGTCATCATCCCATTGATGGCAGATCCACCCTTCTTCTTCTTACCACCCTTCTTTGTGGGAGCCATTCTGCAGGTCCCAAGATGGAAAGAAAGAGCAGGAGAGATTGTCATCACAGTTTTTTTTTTTATAACCAAAATACTACATCAAGGAAAACTAACTGTCCATATGGAATCTGGGTCAAAAGAAAAGAAAAAAAAAAGACAGTTTTAAGCCATTGTCTGAGTAGCATGTATAGAAACATGGGAGCATGTATAGAAAGCAGGGAAATAATCTCTGATTTTGAAAAGAAGATAGTTCAGACATGTGGAGGAAAGAAGGCCAAGTTAATACCTGTCCTACAAATATGTAAGTAATGCCAAAGAAGGAGAAATAATCATGCCACACAGTAAAAGAATAAAGCTTCATCTTTTACAAGAGAAAAAAATATGCAGTAAAAAATAAAATTCAAAGAGTACATTTGGGGAAAATTGTATAATGATCCTATTACCATAAAAGGGTGTAAGAGACCATTTGAGAACTTTAGCTTTTACTAAAACCCAATAAATTAGACAATAAATTTCAATTTTCTTTTCAACATTACAGATAAGTTTTCGTCCAAGGCACTTCTAGATAGATAAGAAATCCCAGTGACAAAAACAGAGTGATAATGACAGAATTGAAAGGTCAGTTTTCACCAACAAAGGGTAAGTTATAGTTCTGATTTGCAATTGGAAAGTCAAATTTACGTAAAATCATATAAATATTTGTTTTATTTTTCACTCAGAGAAGCAGCATTAAATAAAATATATTACTCTTGTCAGAACACTTGGTAATACATAAGAAGCTATCTAAAAGACAACAAACCTATTGGCAAGAATTCCAGCACTGACTCATTAAAAAAAAAAAAAAGGATAGAATCAGTGTGCATTGATTTCTGGCAGTCATGTTTGTTCATAAGGGAGACTAAGCTGCCGTGAGATTTCATTTCAGAAAGCATGTTTTAACAAGTCCTACAGATACTTTTAACATTTTTCCTACCTCCACAAAGATACCTGTGTGGGATAAAGGGCTCAATGTTGTGTTCCAACCCTAGTTGAATACTCCTAATATGCCCAACAGAAAAGATAGATAGGAAACTACCCTGCAGGCTTAGAATTTAAATTGAGCTCACAGGCCAATTACTGTTATTCCAAGATCTGACAGCCAATAGTCATGCATTCCTGTCTTCCCTATCGCTTTTCTTGCACCTCTGAGATCAGTGGGGGAGAGCTGAAGGGACCACAAGAGCCCAGTAGGAGACCATCATTGTGTAGCTCCATCCAATCAAGAAATAGTCTCCATTCAAGAGGAGTCTTGTAGAGCTGATTGAGTTGCCTTCTCAAGCTATAGCTGCAGCCTGACCCTTCTTGGTGTATCTCCAAGATAACTGAGTGAGGCTTGGCATCCATAGCTCAGCAGCTAGGGCACCAGCCACATACACCAGAGCTGGATGGTTCAAACTCAGCCTGGGCCTGCCAAACAATGACAACTGAAACAACAGCAACAAAAAAATAGCTGGGCATTGTGGCAAGCACCTGTAGTCCAGCTACTTGGGAGGCTGAGGCAAGAGAATCACTTAACCCCAAGAGTTGGATGTTGCTCTGAGCTGTGATGTCATAGAACTCTACAGAGGGTGATATGGTGAGAACTCTGTCTCAAAATAAATAAATAAATAAGATAATTGAGTGAGTGATGTTTCATGCAAAGTTGGCATGATCTTTCAAGATGATTTTCTTCTCTGTAGTACAAGGCCGCACAGGCCTAGAAATCACATTCTCTTAAAGCAGCGGTTCTCAACTATTCATTGGTGACAATTGGCTATAGCCCTAGGAAACCTTCACAACCCACAAGAACTGTATTAAAGGGCCGTGGCATTAAGAAGGTTGAGAACCACTGACTTAAAGGAAGCCAGACTCTAAGGAATGAGTTCATGATAATTAAGCAGTAACAAAGGGATTTGTCAACCAAAAAGCCTATCATTTTACAACCAATAGATAACTCACTGAACTAGCCATATGTATCAGCCAGATTATCAAAGATTCCCCTTCCTAGAATAAATTTACTGGAGAGATCTAATTCATTAGTGACTCCTAATTAATGATTATCATTTCAGGGCAAACATAAATGAGTATTTTTATAAAGCTGTAGTAATCTTTTGATTCTTCCTTTCACACTGTAAAGAATATAAATATCAAAGCAACCAGGATGTTCATGTCAGTGGGTCAGGTTATCACCTTGTGTAATACTGAAGTCACAATGACATATTTTTACTTCATATTCCCCTTATCTGGTATAAACGGTAGCCACATCTCATTTGTTTATACAGATGATTACATTTTCCTGTTTCAGTAATCTTATTCAGCTATTACCAACATTTATGTTTAGACACCCCTGACACTGGTTACAAATCAGGGTGAGGACCTTCTGATAAATGTAGATAATAATGTCTATTGTTTCCCAGGGCTATAGCCAATTGTCACCAATGAATAGTTTCCAAATTTGTAAAAGTCCTTTTTTCATATTTTCTTTTCTAATATTGTCCTGTTTCTCTTTTTCCCTAATGTTTAATTGTCATCTCTGACATATTTCAGGGATTTTGAGAGTTCTTTCTCTCTCTGTCTTTCTTCCATGAGTGCATGTGTGAACATAGATGGGATAAGAAACATCTCCTGAGAGATATTAAATTTTTTCAGAATTAACCAAACTTGTTTTTAATTTAGTTAACAGGTGATTAACAGACAATTTTGTGTTGTCTTAGAGTGTGAGATGAGATCCTAAACTATGCTTCTCCAGAGATACAAAACCAACAGTATATTATTCTAGATAGAGATAAAAAGAGATTTAGTTTAAGGAATTGACTCATATAATTGTGGGGAGCTGGCAAGACTGAAATCTATAGAACAGCCAGCAGGCTGAAAATTCAGGTAAGAGTTGATGTTGTAGTCTTGAGTCTAAATTCAACATGGTAGCAGGCTGGCCACTTAGGCAGAGTTTCCAGGTTGCAGTCCTGAGGACAATTCCTTCAAGAAATCACCATCTTTGCTCTTACAGCCTTGAACTGATTGGATGAAGCATACCACATTATGGAGAGCAATTTGCTTTATTCAAAGTCTACTGCTTTAAATGTTAATCATATATAATAAAATACCTTCACAGAAATATCTAGACTGGTTTTTTGACCAGAAAACAGGGCACTATAACCTATCATTGGTACCACGTGGGAGGGTGACTGGAAAGATCACCTATATGGTCTGTCTAACAAGGGTACAAGTGAACTTTTCTAGAACTAGAGTATAAATGTTTAACACAATAACTAAGTAAATGACACAAAGTCTATGTTAACCAGTTTGATGGAAATACTTCAAATTGTATATGAAAACACTACACTGTACCCCATGTTTGCATTAATGTATACAGCTATCATTTAATAATAAAAAAAAAGATTTCAGAGCTTGAAGACAAGGCCTTTGAATTTATCAGTTCATCAAAAATAAAGGAAAAAATAAGAAATCTTAAAAAAAAATTAACCATCATAGACCCAAAGCTGAGCATAATAGGTGACAAATATTCACATATTCTAAAGAGGGGCAACAGGAAACCTCCAATCTGACCAGAAACTTAAAGTATCATCCAGACTTTAAATAGCCTTTATGAAATTCTTATTTACACATTCCATGTTTTCACATTTCAAATTTGCAAGCATAATTAGGATTTTATTACATACATTATCACTATAATCTTTCATTTAAACATGTATTTTTTCCTCAACTCTTTATAATTATTATTGTGTGAGATCTTGTGGACTATAAGGCAAACTGGTTAAAACTGTAATGTTTATTATCCAAATAGATGGCTCCATGTTAACCTAGATAGTCCTGAAATCAGGGAGATCACAAGCTCCAAAGCCTGGATTCTCCCAGTGATAAAACACAAGGGGTCAGGAATTTCAAACTCTTAAGCCAGAGGGATAATAAATACTATCAAGCAAGGTAGGTATGGTTACTGGGAGCATGGCTTTCTTTTACTTTTCCAATTCATAGATATCAAAACACTGCGCATACACAGTCATCATATTTTACTAGAGAAATACTGTTTCACTGATTCAAATTCTGGTAACATATAACTTTTGAGTTCTGATATTTCACTAAACTTGGTAGAAGTGTTTAAGGTATAATGGAGCAATTGAAACCAGATGTGATTGCTCATTACTTTTCTACAAAATTCTCTAAGTATGTGTTATCTGTTGTAACAAATCTCTGTAAGCTTCATTCACACACAATGTACAACAAAAAGTGAGGCAAATACCTTAAGAGGGATTTATAAGATTCTTTTTGCTCTTTGCCTTAGGTAAGGTAGTATACCTAGTAGGGTACATTAACTAGGTACTAAGTGACAAAAATCTTAATGGATTAAACTAGAAAGTAATGTAGTATTCATTTGACAAGTCCAGAGGCAGGTGTCAATTCAACCATTAAACAATGCCATCAGGAAACCTGGTTCCTTCCACCATTCTGGACATTTGATTCTTTGTCCTTAGATTTGTCCCTTCATGACATTAAGGTGACTGCTACAGAGCCAGACATCATAATTGCATCCAAAACAAAAAGCAAGGAGTAGCCAGAGTGCAACTTTCATAGTGCTCACTAATATGTATACATACATACACATATGCACAACATACAGATATACACAGACAGAAAGACATTTATGCATGTATAAAGAAAGAAGACTTTTCCCATAATCCACAGGTTGAAGTCCTCTTGCATCTCATTAGTGAGAACTGTTAAATGTTCACCATTACAACATCATTGGCAGGGAGAAATGATATTTCTCTAACTGAATTAAGCCAAACCCCCTCTACTGATGAAAAAGGATACTACCTTCCTGAGCTCACTAATACCTGCTCAACACCTGAACAAATACAAGTTCTCTATCAAGAAAGAGGGCTTGGGGCTCAGCACCCATAGCACAGTAGTTATGACACCAGCCAAATACACCAAGGGTTCAAATGGGGCCTGGGCCAGCTAAACAACAGTGAAAACTGCAACAAAAAATAGCCAGGCATTGTGGTGGGCTC